CCCCCCCACCCCCTTCAGTCGTCTGTGTCTGCTACGGTCAGCTGACTTCCTGCTCAGAGACTGGCTCACTTCCTGGCTGCGTCATTTTCCTCTCTTACCACCACTGTGATGACGTGTTGTGTTCAAATCTCTGATACCTGATCTGACATAATCGCACATCTCTTATTGGGCTGCTGATGGCTGCTTATTGGCCTCTGGGCTGCGTTTTACAGGAAGATATTGAGGGTTTGATATTAGCTTCTTACTGGCAAATTCACTCACACACACACACACACACACACACACACACACACACATCTGCCTCTTAGTTATTGATGAGCTAATATCCGCGATTATTTGCAGTGCACAAACACAGGCAACTGTCCATATTATCATCATGTAGAGTACAGTGTGTGTGTGTGTGTGTGTGTTTTGAAATCGTTATCTATTACACGCACCGATCGATAAGGAAAAACACCGGATACCATATCGCCATGGGAACGGCATCCAATAAAGCCACGTTTTGTTCCTGGAGAGGATAATGGTATAAGATATCAGTCTGGTATTGATTGGCTAATCTCATCGCACACCGCCGTGTTGTGGTGTCGAGGTGCGCTACGCGCGGCCATGTAAGGGCATGAGGGCAACCGTAGAGGGTTGCCATGGTTTCATTTACAATAAAATCAACGTACATTCAAAATATATTACGCCATCATCAACAGAAAGTTTAAAAAGTAAGAATGAACAAAAAATCGGACCAAAACTTGTCGGTAAAGCTATAATTTAAAAAAAAAGATTGTGGTCCTATTGGCCGAAAGAAGCAGTGGATCTTGGATTCACCAGCTTTCAATCAAATTTGACAAAGCGATGATTACTTCTTTGTATGTTTATGCTTCTGTGTGTGTGTGTGTTGATTAGATCGTGTGTACCTACAGTCATGTGACTCAGATTAAGCTAGTCATCGACTCCAGGATTACGCCTTAGTGACAACAATGGCCTGAACGGATTAGAGTGTTTGTGTATCCCTTTGTTTTGTTTGTGTACATGTGGGTGTGTGTGTGTGTGTGTGTTTTGGGCATACTTGACTGCACGTGCGCTAAAATGTTTTCTATATGTGTTTTTTGTGTGTGTGTTGTTGCATTAAAGCATATCTGCCTCCTAGCCTAACCCCATGTTATGCGTTGCCTCTCCTCATTTTGTCCCCTGCCTGTTGCCGTACTCGTTAGAGCAGCAGTCTGTTGGCGCTCTTGTTAAGAAGGTGCTAATTCGTATCAACTGTGACATGACATCCTGACACCATTAGATTAATTCAGTTCCCTCACCCACAAGTCCCTAAATAATTATACAGATGCAGCGATAGCCCTGGGAAGACTGGAGACGTTGGTGTTGGCTCTAATTAAATATCTTTGGGTTTGGAGACAAGCTTTTTTTTTTATACTAGGGCACAGTAGAGCCACTTTTATCTCACTAGAAGCCAGAAAGACTCATTGAAGTCGCTCCTTGCATTTAACTTTTTAGAGATTTGAGAATAATAGCCATGTTTTTTTAGACTGAAGAGTGGATTCCTTGGTGCACAAGTTCAATGACGCTTGCTCTATTTTTATTTTTATTTTTTTGCTGTGTCATGTTGAGCCACGAGGAAGTGGCATTAAAATGACCAAAAATCCACAACCCCGCCCTGTTTATGTGTCAGGCAAATGCTCGCCCCCCCAAAATGTTTTGTTGCTGCTGTTTCAGAGTCAGCAAAGTGACTGCTGTGACCTTGGAGATTTGCTAATATTGAGGTTTAAAAAACTGTGTATGATTTTACGATTTGCACTAGCCTGTTTGTGATTATAAGAACTCATCCCGGCCTGCATGGAAGACACACATAACCCCACTGTTTCACTTTTGATATAAAGGAAATGCTCTTACGGGGCGTAACAGTGGCCAAGGTGCGAAGACATATACCTTGTAAACCACAATGCCCCCTTTCCTTTCTCAGTGGCATAACTTTGCTCTCCCTTCATTTCCTCTCTGCCTCTCAACCACATTCTGCTTATATATCCGTTAAAGGCAAAAATGTCCCATAATGTGAATGTAAAAAAAGCACATATATAGTTTCGGATGTTTAAAAACCTTTTAAAATGCCTAAAATCAGCTGCAGTTTTAACTAAAAGATAAATATTGGATAAATATTCTATACATTGTGCTCTCTGATAGCTAATGTCATAGTTACAGGTCACATTATTAGAATAACGTTACTGACATTTATTCAAAATGTATCTAACCAACTACACGACTTATCCAAACTTCAGCTTCATTTTTTAATCACATTTACTTTATTATAATAGTTCAGGGTTTAAACTTCAGTGGGGGCAGCCCTCATAAGGTTAGAAGTAAATGTCCAGAGAACATATAACACACACAGCCGATCAATATGCATCATATCCACATATATGATGCTCTATTGTAGTACAGCACAGGTAATCAATACAGTGATGCATCGGAGCATGAAAATAGCCATGTCTTGAGCATATTTGTTTACTTAATCTATTTTTTTATGACAAATACTAACATCCCAAAAGCATTTTCAACATTTACGACATTTCGAGCCGTTGGCGGAGCGTTTTCTCTTTTCCAGTCACTGCACCATGCTACGCGGTTCGTCACGTTAGCTTATCTCACCCAGCGTCTTCACTTCTATCCATGCAGGGCGACCATCTACTGAGCAATGTTGATCATCCTGATAGGATAGGTTAAAATGGTTCGCTAAAACTACGCTGAGACTTTAAATGTCGTCGTTTCTCTGTCTTTTTCGACTACAGCGTGTATTTGAATTGGGTTTAATTATCATTTTGGCTTCCCAGTGATTATGAAAACAAGATAATGGAGATAAAGCCATTATTCCTTTTACAGCTGTGTGCAACTTTTTGCCCCTCCCTAAAAGCCCCAACTCACTCTCAGCCAGGCTTGGGCATGTTTAGTTCAGCTCGAGCCAAGGAGACAGAAAGAGAGCCTTTGGTCAACAAGAAAAGGTAAAACCAGTTCAGCTGTTTTGGAAACACTTTGGTTTATTGTACTTTTTGTATTTTTCCATTCATTTTTTACTTTTTGTTTAGTTTTTAATTTTTGTTTTCTACTCACTTCACTTAGTTTCCAGAGTGGGATTGCTTGTTTCGGTTTAGTTTTTATTAGTTTCAGTATCAGTTTTAGTTGCTTTTTTAATTATAATATTTATCGGGGGGAAAGATTTAAGAAATATTACAATATGAGTTTGTGACAGGAAATGACTCACAGGCATGGAGAAGCCCCACTCTCAATTAATATATGCACCAATTAGTTATTTTAAGTACACACTATCATTTCAGTTAGTTTTATTTTCACATTTAGTTTAGTTTTCTGTCAAGTAAAAACGATGCTTCCAGAGTCAGTGAGTAATAATTATCGCAGAAAGTGACACACAGGAATTTGTCTGCTCGTCCTTACAAAATACCTGCTGATGTAGTGCCTGCTTGCCCCCCCGCTGGCATTTTGTTCTCAGGATATCATTTAATTCAATAAAGAGTTATAGAAAAGGGGGGCCGGGATCTCCAGTTAGCAGCTTGCTAAATGACAGAAGAGGATGGGAAGGAGGAAGAAGAAGGAGGAAGAAGAAGGAGGAGTGCGATATGTTACTGAGCTTGGAGGTAGAAAGAAACAGGCTTGTTTAGTGAGCTCCCTGGCTAACGGTACAATAAGTTCACACCCTCTTGTCTCTTACATTTCTGCTTTCTCTTTCGCTGAGCAGTCTGGTTTTTTGGACGGAGGAAGGTTAGATGGCCAACAAGCTACGGTGGCCTCCTCCATTTTGGTTTCTCTGGCTCACCACGTGTCAGTTCCCCACAGCTGAAAGCTTTGCAGATTCACCTCACCGACGATTTGCCGGCTTGCGGTGATTCCGTTTGAGTGACTAAAATACTTGGTGTGGCCGGACCTTTAATGCGTTCTGATTTTCTAATTGATTGTACGGACGATCGACAGCCAAGACTGAGCACGGTGTTAAAATAGAGTCAGGCCAGAAGCATCTTGTTTGCCACAGGAAGCAGTTGGATTGTGGGTGGTGGACATGTGATGCTATATTTTGAGAAACAGAAATTATCTGCACATAGTGGCACTAAGTCATTTAAAAATACACATTTTCAACGCCGTCATATGCTGTATTAAATGTCTGTAGTTACGTATAACTCCGCTTCATCAGTGAGCGACCTGTGACCCTTT